ATATAATGGTATGGTAGTAAAGAGACAAATGAAAAATACAACGTGCTACTATTTATTAATGATAAATTTTCCAAACAAAACTTCTTTGGTAAACAAACAAAAGATTGTGTATATATGTATTTATAATAGTTTATTTCAGTATGACACTTTTTGAAAGATTTTAGAATATGTAAAATTATCAGAGTTCACATTCCCAAGTAGTTTCACTCGTCTTTTTGTAATTTTCACTATTCAGCATATCTATTTGTTTCAATAGCTATCACGTCCCAATAATCATCCGTCAATATTAGATCGAATAAATCTATCACAGTGGGATTATCTCGTAATTTTTGTAAAAATACAAGGTTTATACCTGGTGTTCCCGTGAAGATAAAACTTTTTGTATTATTATCCTTGGGAACCCAATTCCAATAATTAGCGTTATTTTCACTTGTCGAAGTTTCGTTTGTTTTCATTGCATCCTCGTTATTAGAATCTTCGGAAGATATACGTCTGAAACGTTAAAAAAGTCTCTTCATCGCTGTCACTTTTCAAAATTATTTTTACGTTCGCCCGTGCTCAATTACAAACGAAATTATTTCGTAATTAATCGAAACGGTGAAACTATTTTCGTAATTATGTATAATATATTATTATTAATAATAATTATTAATATATGTATTAATATATGTATTAATATATAATATATATATATGTATTATTATAATATATATTATAATAAATATTATATATATTTATTATTATAATATATATTATATTATTATTAATAATAATTATTATAATAATTATTATTCGAAATCAATCGCGATACAACACAGCGTTATCCCAACTATCAACTTGCACACGTTAGTGCGTTATTATTGCCACAAAAATACACCAGTCTCACATGTTGGCCACAAAATCTCATTATTTCAAAAATAATAAAAGGAACGAGAGATCATTATTTCAGTAATAAAAATTCGAAGATAATTCATGAATAAATTTGAAGAGAGCATAATAAAATTAATTGGAAAATTTTCCTCCAGCGACGCTCATCTTTTTTCGTTTGTGGTAACACCTTGAAACATTCTCCCAAACACAATCCGGGGTTACCTTCACCAAGCAAATATTAATCTTCACGTATCTTTAAGCCTCACTTTATCTGAAAACGATCCTATCTTCGTGGCTACTTCTTCACTAATAACTCAAGTTCAAGATCATTATACACACGGTGTGTAACGCGTCTCGAATGGATTAACACGTTCGAGATAGTGTCGGTCCCTACGGACCGACGCACCGTCATTCGTTTGGTCGGCGTCGGTCCCTCGGGACCGACACTTGCAATATTCGTTTTGTCAGTGTCACTTATAATGGATGCGTATCGAGCATGATAAATACAGTTGATGTTTATCAATATAAAAAATATAAAAAATATAAAAAATATATACGTTTGGCTTCGTTTCGAAGTCGCTGATTTTTCCTGCGAACCAGCAAATTAGAGGATCTCTCCTAGAAAAGTTTCGAAGGAAATGCGAAAGAACGTTGGTTAATTTCAATTGCATCATCAGCCTCAGTAGACAAAGATCGTTCTCTGTGAAGCAAAGGGAAAACGAAAGCACAGGTACAAAGGTTGGAAGAAATCGGTGTCGAGGGTGTAGAGCGTGGGTCGCGAGTCAAAGTTTACACTAGGCATTTGCAATTGGCGAAACAGAAGTGGAGAAACGCTGGAA